GGATACAGGCACAGAGGCTTGTCAGAGTTTAAGGGCGTGAGTGACACTGGCAGGGTCCCTCCAGCTGCTGCTGCTGCTGCTGGGGAAGCTCCTAGGACACCAGGTCCCCAGGGGGTACTGGCAGCCTGGCCCCTGACCTGTCGATCCCTGGCTCCAATAGCCATGCGAGGGGTCCATAAAAAAGTAGGGTCAGGGTAACTGCAAAACTCTGCCTCTCACTCCCCAGGTGCCCAGCTCCTCATTCGGCCCCTCATGCTTCGCGTCTGCATTTAGGAAGCACCTTCTTCGTTCTCCACACCTGGCTAGGCCCCCGGGGACACAAATGTTCATGAAAGTAGTGATACTGTTGAGGATCATGTGGGGGTCAGCATGGCAGCCTGGTCCACCCAGAAGGTTCCTGGGAATATGGCAGGGAGGCTGGACTGGGGACCTTCTCCAGAACCTTGAGTCGTCTCTTCGATTCTGTCCTCAAAGGAAGTGTCTAGCCCTAACCGATGTGGCTCTGTGGGTTGGGTGCTGTCTGCAGAGTGAGGGGTCACCTGTTCGTTTCCAAGTCTGGGCACGTGCCTGGGTTGTGGGTTCTGCCCCAGGTCAGAGAGTGTACAAGATGCAACCGATTGACGTCTCTCCCATGTGCCAGTGTTTCTCTCCTTCCCTTCCCCTCTCTCTAAAAATAAATAAATAAAATCTTATAAAAAGAGAGACAGAGAGGGAGAGTCCACCTGCTAGCACCCAGCCGCCTCTGTCTGGCCCCGGCATGGATGCCTCCAGGAAAGGACATTCTCTGGGCCTAGGTCATTCCTGGCCCCACAACCTGCTCATTTCACCTAGAGGCCCAGAGAGGGAGGCCTCTCAAGATCACACAGCAACTCGGTGGCTGTGTTTTGCCTTGGGCACAGCCAACACAAGAGGTAATGAGTACCGCCCTCACCTCTCTAGGTACCACCAACCCATCTCAGCCACACTGTCCCTAAACCTGGTCTCCTTCCCTGGAGGCACAACCCTGAGGATGACCTGCTCTGCTTCAGTGCTCTCCCTTTAAGAGCCTCTGGTCTCTCTACACCCTACCTCTACCAGGAGCACCCCTGCATCTGAGGATCAAGCCTGTTCTTCCCCCTCACCCCATCTCAGTTCAGGTTCTGCTGAGTGCCATAGAGCACAGTGGATCTGGCCTATATCAGAAAACTCTTCAGCCTCCCCAGGGGGGCTGCGGTCACTCCCCAGCTCTGTCTGGGAGCCCTGTGCTGGGACCACCCTGCTGGCCCCGTTCTTTACAGGAACACAGCGCACCTCCACTCTGGCCGCCCAGGACCTGGTCTTTCCCCCGCCTGGGGAAAGAGGAAGTGTTTACCCAGCTCCAGGAGAAGACCACAGCCTTCCTGCACATATGGGGCAGGGGTCAGCCAGGGCCAGGGACCACCGGAAAGCCAACGAGCAGACACGGGTGCTGGGAGGGGGGCTCCCAGCCCAAGCCTCTGAGCCCCGCCCCTCCAGGAGCCCCAGATGGAGGCTCAGCAACTTTCAGGCGCCTTTGGCAGAGACCCAGCCCCTTTTCCCCAACTGCACTGCTTTCCAAGGGTTCTTCTGCAGGGGGCGCTCCTCTGGCCATGTACCCCAGACTTACCGACTTGCACCCCTCCCCCATCTCGCTTGCTCTCCAAATGAGCTAGGAGGAGTTGGCGCTGTCACACAGGGACGGCCTGCCACCCCCTTTCACACTCCCAATGCCCGAAGACACCCCCCCCCCGCACCCCGCCACCGTGACCTCTCCCCGCGGAGTGTCCTTCCATCTCTGTTTGAGTCGGCTCTCTGGTCCTCGTGCTGCAACGGGTTCCTCCGCCACAGACAGGACCGGGGAGCCGAACACCCAGTCCTGTGTGTACAGACTCGGCAAGGACCCCTCACCGGCCCAGCCCGGAGGCAGCGGCAGCCCGACCCGGCTCGGAGCCGCGAGCGCGCCTGGACCTACCCGCTCCACATCCCAGAGCTTCGGGGCGCCCCGGCGCCTGTCCCCGCCGCCTCAGAGATCTCCTAGCACCGCGTCCCCGCCGCTGCCGACTCCACCCCTGGCCAGCCGGGCAGCCCCGCCGCCTGTCAGTCCTGACCGCAGTCCGTCCGTCCAGCCGCAGCTCTCACCGGGGACCCCAGCTCAGCCCCGACCCTGCCCTCGGGGGTCACGTGGCCAAGGGGGTGGCCAGAGGACACATGCCCGGCCCCGCCCCCCCGCCCGCAGGGCGCAGAGCTGGAGCGCGCTCGGGGCCCAACCCCACTCGGCTGCCCGCCCCGGACCGTCCGACTGCGGGGGGAGCCGGATCCCCATCGTCCTTGGCCCGAAGCGCTCAGACGCTCCCCGCTGCTGCCTCTCCCCCATCACCTCCTTCCGGGCACGGCGCAGCACCCTCTCCGGGCCACTCGGCTCAAGAACCTACACTGGTTACCAGGCTTTCTGCTCCGTGATCCTTATCGATCTTTACTCTGGGTCAGCAGACACCTTCCAACCCCCTCCGCAGGCCTAGCCATCATCACTCCCTCCCGAGCTCCCTGTTCTGTGTCCGTCCCTGTGCGACATTTTGCCTGGTGGGAAGGGGGGCAGACCGCAAAACACGTATTCTCTGTCTTACTCTCTGGGTGCTTATCCCAGGCAGAACCCGCATTTGGCCCTCTCCAGCCCCAGCCTCTCCTGCCTGTGAACACTCCTCTCCCAGCCTTGCCTTTGCCACTGTCTTCTCTCTGGAGGGAGGCACCCATCACACCCACACACCTGCCTGGTGCCACATCTGCAAAACCTCCTCTGGGCATCTCAGACCGTTGGCCTCCGTGTACCTCAGTCTCTCGGTGCCTGTCACCCATCCTAAACTCTGACCCTGGCATTGACCTCAACTGCAACACAGGACTGCTGAAAACTAACCCCCCTTTTCTCCCGAGGGCAACTCTGTCTCCCGCCCGTCATATCCACAGGAGGACTGGGAGGGTTGGAAGAAGATACCTCCCTTCTGGAAGCTACCACACTCTGGGCACCCGTGTCCTAGGCCCACAGAGCCAGGGTCCCAGGCTTGAGTCTGTCAGGTCTTCATCTGGGGACACATACGTATCTCTTTCATTCGTTCATCCACCCACCCTTTATGAGTACAAACTGTGGACAACACAAGGGCTGTGGACCCACAGGAAACTGCGAGACACAGTCTCTGTCCTCCTGGGGGTCTAGTACAGTGGGGAGAGGGGCGTATGGGGGCATACTCTCAAGGACCTCCACTTCTAGGACCCCCGCTTGCCCAAGGCACACCTACCTTGCTCAGTGAATGGTATCTCTGTTCAAAATGAAAAAAGTATCCCTTCCCTAGGTGGCCACGGCCCCCGTCAAGGCTCAGGACATGGCGAGTGGACAGCAGGCTGGATGTCATGCCAGGTCCTGGTTCCCTGGGCCAGCACCTGTCTGGGGAGCAACCTGGGGCATCCCTTCCCGATTTCCAGTATCTTTCTGCTCAGGCCTCCTATGCCTTTCACTCTGCAGGGAAGTTGTTTCCGTGACTGTGGACAGGGACCAGCTCCCTCCTGGCGCCCTGTTTCCCCACCCAGCCCAGCCCAGCCCAGCCCAGCCCAGGGCCTGGCAGAAAGCAGACGTCCTCATGAGCGCTGACTTGAACCCTTCACCAGAACAACTCTTGAGCATCTGCTGCCTTCCTGGCCCTTGCTGCGTTCACTATTTAGGGAAGGGGAAGAAGATGACTCCAGAGGAACTCAGGACAGGAGCGGGCAGGAGATAAGACCTAGTCCAAGACTGGTGGGAGATGAGGGGCGGAGGGTGTGCCAGCCTGGGGCCGTGGCTCCAGAGGAAGAATCCTCAGTATGGGAGGATGGGCGGGCTGTGGAGGCCCTTGAGTGAGGCCTCCACAAGCAAGTGTGGGGTCACCATTCTGGGAGCATCGATACCCCAATTACCAGTCAAAAATATTCCATCGTCTATATATCCAGTTACCTTGGACTCCCAGGCTTCACTAGCTTCTCCCACAGCCCCATAAGCTCTGCTCCTCAGCTGGAAAGGATGGGCTCAGAGAGGGTCAGGAATATGCCTGATGTCACACAGCCAGGGGTGGTGACTGAGACCCTTTATACCTGTTTTCTGAAAGGACAGCCCAGAAAACAGGACTCGCTGGAGACTGCAGCTGCCTGCAGTCAGGTGACTACTAGCTGCCTGGCCGGCAGGTGGAAAGGGAGAAATAAAATAAGGTTTGTCTTCCGCCCCCAAGCCACTGGCCTCTCCAAATCCCCCCTGCGCTCAACCAGTTTCCCTGGCCCTCCCCATCCCCAGCTTTGGCCACAGTCCCTCGGCTGGAGGGAGACTTGGAGCAGAGCCGCCAGCCTGCACGACCCAGGGCCTGACTCTGTTCTCCATCCACTGTGTGACCTAGGGTGAGTGTCTTCTCCTCTCTGAGCCTCGGTCTCTAAGTCTGTGTAATCACCAAGTGGGACAAGACCATCAGGGCCACCCCCTGGCACTGAGCTGGTAGGAGGCTCATGAAACTCCTAGTTCCAGGTGGGTCCCCTGCCCAGAACTTGGCTGCTCGCCCAGACCCCCTACAGAGCAAGATCTCCCCTCCCTTTCAGGTCACCAGCTCACCTGTCTGTGTCCCAGGGCTCCTCTCCCAGGTCGCCCTCAAGTGCAGGGCACAGACCTGATGGGGCGTAGCGAACCGTCCCTGAGCTCATCGCCAGGTACACGGGGCATTTTCCTCGGGCGGGGCACCTGGCGCCTTCCTCGGTGGGGTTCATGCCTACGGGGCCGGACCAAGTGTCCGTCCCTCCGGAGACAGGCAGGTGGCAGAGCCTTCTCCCTACCCCCAGGCTACACTAACCTTTGCTATCTCGAAGAAGCAGCTGCCTGTGAGGGAGGAGCCTCCCGGACAGGAGTGTATCTCCTTAAACCATAATTATTAACTCATGTGGCTCAACAGGCAGAAAATCCTGGGGCCCTCCTTCCAAGGCCTCAAAGGGAGGTGGCAGCCTCCTCTATAAGCCCGAGGCCCTGGGCTTCTGCTGGACCCACAGAGGAGGCCGCCTGTTCCCTGCTCACCCAGGTCAGCTCGTCGGAAGGAGCCTGCCCAGCCCTGGCTGCAGCTCTAGCTGGCTGTGTAGGCTTGGGTAAGGCCGCCTGCCTCCCCCACCCCAACTCTGGCCTGGATATCCCCTTCAAACCTTTAAACCCCAGCAAAAAGGGACAACTCAGTGAAGTAGCTAAGAACACAGGCCTGGCTCTGGCTGGTGTGACTCGGTAGACTGAGCGCCAGCCTGCAAACCAAAGGCTTGCCAGTTTGAATCCCAGTCAGGGCACACGCCTGGGCTGTGGGCCAGGTCCCGAGTTGGGGGTGTGTGAGAGGCAACAGATGATGTTTCTCTCCTACGTTGATGTATGTCCCCCTCTTCCAGACTATGAACCCCTGGACCTGGTAGCCTCTCTGTGCTTCAGTTTCCCCAACTATGAAATGGAATTTCACCCTCGCCGGCACACCAGGCCGGCTGCTGTTGCCCAGATATGCTCTACAGCCTCTCCTTCCTCAAGTTCATCCCTCCTTCTGCAGCCTCCACCCCATCCCACCCTGCTGATAGATTTCCCTTTTGCTCCCACCCCCTCCTGCTGGAAGCCTTCCCTTGTGATTTGCTTTCTTCCTCTGCGGGCAGTGGCTCCAGCCCTCGGACACATGGTCTGCTTTGTGTTATGACAAGTGCCCCATGGTGCTGTTGGACACCCCACAGGCACCGAGTCACCCACTCATCACCAAATCCTCAGTGTCCCCTCGCCTGGCACTCAGTCCACCAGGGAGGGGTTGAATGTCTTCCCCTGTCTCATTCGGCCAGAATTCTAATCCTAGCCCTGCCATTCCCTGGCTGTGTGACCTTGGGCAAGTCACTTAACAGCTCTGGGACTCAGTTCCCCCATCCCTAAGATGAAAACAATTCATTCTCCCCTGTGACACTGTGAACAGCTAAGAAGGTAACGCTCGTGACGTGTCTACCACAGCAGAGACTGGAGTGAGCCCTTCCTGTCCCCTTCGCCCCTGCCTTCCCTTCTTTCCTGTCAGTGCCAGAGTTCCCACTGGGGAGAAGCTGCCAGTTCCTGACCAGCGGTCACACCCTCCCCGCCCACCCGCCTGCGGATAACAATATCTTCCACTCAGGCTTTGGGCTTCCAAACTCTCTCAGCCTAATGCAAACCAGATGCTGGCCTCCCTTTCCTGGCGATGAATTTTCCATGGCCTGCTCCCACCCCCTTCCTGTTTTTGCTCCTCGCTGATCCCCCTGTTACATTCTTCGGTGCCCCCACCTTCCTCTGCAGGGCAACCTCTGGGCCCACCTGGAAACAATTAATAGAAAACAGGATGTGTGAAAAGGGGGTTCTTCCCATCGCCCCAGCATAGCAGGAGGGGAAGTGGCTCCGTCTACCTGGTGGGTATTGGGCACACAGTCCTTCCCCAGCCGCCGAGCCCCAGCCATCGGGGGGAAACTGAGTCAGAGTAACTTTGGGAACTGTGTGGAAAACTGCTACTTTCTGGACTTTTAGGCACAGCGAGGGCCGAGCGGGGAGCTGTGAAGGTCTCATTCTTGGCTGTGACTCCTTAGAAAAATCAGAACCAGAAGCGGCCCTACCCCTTCCCGTTGCAGGTGGAGAAAATGAGACAGAGACTTGTCCCAGGTCACGCGTGAGTCGGAGGCGAGAGGCAGCCAGGTCCGAGACTGGCTGCCAGTAAAAGCTGCTGCCCGAAGTCAAAGTCACGAAGCCACCTCCGGGGTTGCTATCTCAGCGTCATTCCCTCCCTCCCCCCAGCCCCGCCCCCGTGAGTCTGGTCACGAGGGGAGGCTCGCAAGGCCGCCTGCCCTGGGCTGCTCAGCCGCCTCCTAGCCGGCAGGCAGGAGTCTGATGCTCGCTTGGCCCAGCAAACCCGGGCCTTCCCCTCCAGAGCCTTGGGCAAGCCCACGAGTGCCAGGGCGTTGTTGGGGGCTCCTCCTTCACCCTCTGGGCCCTGTGAACCCCCTCTGGGCATCCAGGGCTGGCCCTCCCAGCAAGGACTTCGCCAAGTCCAACAGCCCAAGGGCTCCCAAAAGCCTGGCTCTGGCCACCCCTCCCTCTGCCAGCTGTGCGGAGTGTTTGGACAACTGGATGGAATGTTTTGCAAGGAGAGAGTTCCCCCTGGATCTCTGAGCTCAGATTTCAGGAGGGGAGGAGAGGATGCTGGCTTCCGGGAAAGGGGAAGAGGCTGAAGAAGTCAAATGTGGGCCTGGAGGCTCTCCTCCCAGGACTGACCAAGACACTGCCCACCCAGTCCCAGGGTGGTGGGGAGCTGGCGGGAGGCCCAGACCCCTGGAGCAAGGACAAGGCGGAGGGCGGAGACAGCCCAATAGTGTTGAATTGTTGATAGGGCCAACCCGGTGAAGTCAGGCTCTGGGGACAGCCTGGGCTCCAGTGAGGGCCTGGCCGGGGACAGCACTTTGAGAATGTTAAACTCCATGATAAAGACGGTTCTATCTACCACCAGCCCCATTTTACATGTGGGGCAATTAGGGCCCAGAGGGGGCAGGCACTCTCCCCCGCTGCGTGTGCAGCTGGGCCTGAATCCAGGTTCCTGATCTTGAGCTCTGTGTTCTCACTGCCCAGGCTGTCCCCACTGTCAGTCCCAGTCTCAGTCCCAGACACACAGACACCCAGCCAGGGAACAGTCATTGCCCTTGCTCTTCCCCAGATGACCACTACTCGAGGGTGGTACTCCGGGTTCACAAAGAGAACACACAGGTGCTGAGTTCCCCACCAGCCTCAACCCACTTGTGGAGGCCCTGAAAGCCAGGGTTCACACACCACCCCTACTCTGGGGCCAGAGCTCCCCCAGATTCTCCACCACAGCTGCCCAGGCCTCCCCGAGTCCCGTGAGTAGGGCTAAGAAGCTCAAGTCTGTGACCCACTGCATGCAAGAGAGTTTGAGCCTCAGTTTACTCACCTTAAAATTGGAGGGTTATCCTTGCTCATCATGTTTGGGGGTGCTGCCGGTGAGGGCCAGGGAGCCCCTTAGGGGACTTAAAAATTTCCCGGCGACAAAACCATTAGAGCTCATGTGAAAGAAGGAAAGAGGAGATTCCTTTGGCCCAAATGGATATGGGAGTCCCATCAAGGTGCCCGAGGGCCCGGGCTGGATTCCTGGGGTGGATGGAACCTGTTTGTTCACTCCCAGCTCCCAAGCAGGAGAGCTCAGGCACCTAATGGAATTCCAGAACCAGCCAAACCTTCAGGGGCAGATGTGTCTAGAGGGGGAGGGTAGACATACCCTCCCCTGCCCAAACCTGGGACCTGTCTTCCAAATGGCAGGATGTGGAGTGGGGCTGGGACATTCACATTTGAGGTCAGACTTAGTCCCCCCTCGCAACCCATGGGTGTGGTTCTGCTTCACCCTCTGTTCTCATATGAAAGGTGAGGAAACTGAGACTTGGGAAGCTTAAATAATTGGGCAACAGTGGACAGCTGATGGAATTGGGATTTTAATCCAGGTTTGTCTGACTTCAAAACTCATGCTCTTACCCCTCCGACATTTACTTTCTTGGGAGGAAGCGTAAGGGGAGGCTCTCTGGAAAAAGCAGGGCTTGAAGAAACAGCACTATTTAATTATATAGACATGAAAAAAATAGAGATGGAAGGTGGACATTCTATGCAGAGAGACCATCAGGAACAAAGGCCTGGAGGTGGGGCAGAGACAGGCACGGACACAGAGGAGTCGACCTTTCCCTTGGTGGAGGAGCCTAAGCCGATTTGGGGACAGCAAAGAAGAGGCTGGATGGGCAGGCTCAAGATGAATCATGAAAAGCCTCAAAGGTCAATTTAAAGAGCTTGGACTTTATTCTGAAGGCTCCAAGGAGACCTTGAGCAGAAGAGTGATGTGATCAGAGCCCTGCTTTTGGGAGATAAAATTGACAGCGATGTGCATAGAAAATACAAGTGAAAATTACTAATTTCCAGAGAGGAATAGACTTCCTATACTTAGAAGCATTTGAAGAGTCCTCAAAAGAAAAATCAATAGATCTGTTTACTTTAGAATTTAAAATGTCTCTACATTCCTCCATTCTCCAAAAATTAACGAAAATTAAAAGGTGACTAGCCTGGGGAAGATATTCCCAGCAAATGGCAAAGTGTGAAGATCTTTAATATGTAAAAGAATTCACAAAAGCCAAGATGAAAAAGACTGGGTGCGAAATTAATATGTCCATTCATTCATTCATTCATTCACTTATTTAACAAATATTTAATGAACACCTGCTCCAGGTGCTGAGGAGATAATGGTGGACAAGACGGTTTCTATACTCATTATGTGCACAATTTGGGAGAGGGGTAAGTTAGGGTCATTCAGACATCTAGGTACAATGCTTGCAGCAGGTATAGAGATGGGAAGTACCTCAAGGAACTCTGAACCTAGATTTGAAATCTAGGAAATGTTCCCAAGAGAAGAGTGTGGGAGTAGGATGGGGGACTATTGATACAAACGAGTCTGGCCAGGGCACCAGGGGCTAGATCACATGGGACCCTGTATGCTAGGTCATGAGTTTGAACTTTGTGCTGGAGGACCATGGGGAGTCATGGAAGGGTTTCAGCAGGAGTTGAACACGATCAGATTCACCCGTCCAAAAATGACATAAATGTCGTGTGTGTGTGTGTGTGTGTGTGTGTGTGTGTGTGTGTGTAAAGGACTGAAGAGTTTCTGCTTTCAGTGAGGTGGGGGACTTGGAGCAGTGGGGAACTTTCCTAGTACAGGAAAAGGACGTCCTGGAAAGAGAGGCCATGGTTCTCCTAAGCCCCGTTGTCTAACCAGATCTCCAAAAATCTCTTTCTAGCCCTCAAAGGAAAGTGAGAATGAAGCTGGGAGGTTGGCCAGAAGGAGGACGGTGAGTTGAATCTTGGGCAACTATGTTGAACCAGGACCTTCAGGGAGGGCGGAAGTGTTCTGTGTTGGTGGCACCCCCTGGCTCTTGGTAGAAGCCGATGCAAATACCCTTTGGAGGGAAGTGCCCAACTTTAAGTATGAAGGCTTCCCATTGGTTAATACGAATCAATGAGCTCCCAAACAGGTATCACCAGCACACGAGGAGGCTAGCCACTCCACGGAGGAATCAGCAGAAATGATGCACAACAGACCAACAGGCTACAGGACTTCAGACATTCAGGTCCTTATATAACATAGAATGGTCTTGTATGAATTTAAGATAAATAAGCAGTAAGAGATTATCAAGGAGAACCAAGAAGATTTTTAAATGACCAAATGATTGATATAGACATATAGACACACACACACACACACACAACACTGGGTTAAAGAGACTAGACACAGCTAAAGAGAGCATTGGAGTCCTGGAAGATATGTTAAGGAATTCATCGGAAAATAGCACAGAGAGTCATACACAGAGATGGAAAACATGAAAAAGACGTTTAAAAAGAGGAACAGAACATAGATTTATAAGGTCTGTACAATCCAAGAATAGAAAATAAAGCATGAAAGGGTGGCAATATTTGTCTAGTAGATACAGAGTCTGGGAAGAGGAAAAAAGCTCGGGAGATGGATGATGATTAGGTTGCACAGCAGCGTAAACTGCACCCTTAGAAATGGTTCAGATGCTTTGGCTGGTGTGGCTCAGTGGATTGAATGCTGGCCTGTGAACTGGAAGGCCGTCAGTTCGATTTCCGATCAGGGCACATGTCTGAGTTGTGGGCCAGGTCCTTGGTTGGGGGCATGTGAGAGGCAGCCTGTAGATACAGCTCTAACAGGAGGATGTTTCTCTCCCTCTCATTCTTCCCTTCTTCCCCTCTCTTTAAAAATAAACAAATAAAATCCTTTTAAAAAAGACAGAGTAGAAGGAAGGTAGTATATTTATATTAATAACTGAACTTCAAGACCAAAGTCATTATGAAGGGCAGAGGCGGCCACCAGGCAGTAATACTAAAATGATGAGAATGTTTAGTAAAATAAAAGTTAAATTCACCAGAAAAATGTAACAATTTGAAATGAATATGTGCCTAATAATATAGCTTAAAAGCATTTAAAGCAAAAATCAATAGAACTATGGGGAAAACTGAACAAATCTGTAATTATGGTGTGAGGTGTCAACCACTCTCTCTCAGTGATGAACAGATCAAGCAGACAGAGTACCAGGAGCTGACTGCAACAGAGACATCCAGTGTCGGCCATAAAGGCCAAACCACTGAGCTCTGGGTCAAAGCTGCTTGAGAAGCCATGAGATGCCTGTATTGCTTCCCTACTTCATGCCATTGAGCATATCCCTCTTTCCAAGTGTAGCACAAGATGGGAGATTTATCCTCTAAGGGCAGTAAAACAGAGAGGCTTTGGGCCAGTATCTGACTGAGAGGATGAAGTGATTGCATACAAGTTGAAAGCAGAGACCCCCAACCCTCTTCCCTCACTTGGCAGCCAGGCAGCAACTTGCAGGAGCCTTCCCTGGGGCCCTCTGGCCACCCCAAGAGGACAGGACTAAAGGCCTGAAGACTAGATTTGCCCAAGCAATGCCCAGTAAGAGCACCATAGTGTGAAGTTCAAAGTCAACATGCTTAAAGTTTCCCATCAGTGTTAAGCTCCCGTTCTTAGCAATGAGCAGACAACGAAGGAGAACCTCTGACATGACAGGAATCAAACCTAGTCAGCAGAGCAAAGCAACCTGCAAGAAAGAGGCTCAGGAAAAAACTCTATCATCTGTATCCTCAGAGAGAAAGAAGAGAAAGAATTGCATTCACGAAACAAGAACATGCTTTTCAAACAAGTAACTGTTCAGAGAACAACAAGAATTCTTGGGAATTAATGTTGTTTTGGAAAAGATGATGGCAGAAATAAGAACCGTAAAGAGAGGTTGGAAGACAAAGTGGAGGGAATAGGTCTCAAGATAAAAAAAATAAAGAAATGAAAACGAAAGGGTTAGAAAATTAGAGGACAAATTGGGAAGGTTTAATGTCTGAAAAACAAGGATTTCAGAAAGAGAGAACAGATGAGAGTAGAGGGAATAAGGCATCAAATACATAATTTGAGACTATTTTCTCAAACTGAAGAAATGGTTTGTCAAATTGAAAAGGCCCACTTGTACCTAGCAGAGCCAATGAAAATACTAAGTATGGTGTTGGGAGAACCGGACAGCTACATGCAAAAAAATGAAACTTGAGCACCAACTTACACCATACACCAAAATAAATTCAAGGTGGATAAAAGACTTAAATATAAGCCTTGAAACCATTAAAGTCCTAGAGGAGAACACTGGCAGGAAAATCTCAGATATTTCACACAGCAACATTTTTACTGATATGTCCCCTAGAGCAAGGAATATAAAGGAAAGAATAAACAAATGGGATCTCATCAAAATAAAAAGTTTCTGCGTGCTAAAGAAAACAGTATTAAATTAAAAAGACAACCAACTGTATGGGAAAACATATTTGCCAATGATACCTCAGACAAAGGTTTAATCTCCAAAATATACAAAGAACTTACACGACTCCACTCTAAGAACACAACCAAACCAATTAAAAAATGGGAAAAGGACTTGAACAGACACTTCCCCAAGGAGGACATACAGAGGATCCAGAGACACGAAGAAATGTTCAGTATCGCTAGCTATCAGAGAGATGCAAATTAAAATCACAATGAGATACCACTTTACACAGGTCAGGATGGCTATCATAAACAAAGCAACCAACAACAAATGTTGGAGAGATTGTGGTGAAAAGGGGACCTTAGTTCACTGTTGGTGGTATTGCAGACTGGTACAACCATTATGGAAAACAGTATGGAGTTTTCTCAGAAAAATAAAAATCGACCTGCCTTTTGATCCAGCAATTCCACTGCTAGGATTATATCCTAAGAATCCCAAAACATCAATTTCATAGAACCTATGCACCACAATGTTCATAGCAGCACAATTTACAATAGCCAAGAGCTGGAAGCAACCTAGGTGCCCATCAGTAAATGAATGGATCAAAAAATTGTGGTACATATACACAATGGAATTCTATGCACCAGAGAGAAAGAAGGAACTAGTACCCTTTGCAACAACATGGATGGAGCTGGAAAGCATTATGCTGAGTGAAATAAGCCAGGGGTTGAAAGACAAATACCATATGATCTCACCTTTAATAAGAAGCTAAACAACAAAACAGACAAGCAAGCAAAATAAAAACAAATATACTGAAATAGAGAACAGGGGGACAGTGACCAGAGGGGAGAGGGGAGGGAATTTAAGGGGAAAATGGGAGGTATTTAGAGGAACAAGTATAAAGGACACAGGAACAATAACTAAGGGGGGGTGGAGATAGGAGGGAGGTGGGGTGCATGGGGGAGGGGTGGGCTGGGATGGGAGAAATAAACAGAAAACTGTATTTGAAAAATAACTTTAAAAAAAGAAAAGAAAATACTAAGTAAGATACATCAGTGCACAATTTTAGAAAACTGGGGACAAAGAGACGATCTTACAAGTTTTAACACCCTTAACATCAAAGGCTCTGGAAGCAGAATAGATTTGGATGTCATGGGAGGGGCAACAGAATCAAGAAGACAATGCCTTCAGAATTCTGAAGGAAGATTATTTTCAGCCTAGAACTCTGTGCCAGTCAAACTCTCATTCAAGTATATAAGCAGATCTCAAAAAATGTAACTGTCATTATACTCTTTCTCAGAAACGACTGCAGGATGCACTCCAACAAAACAAGGAGTAAACCAGAACCCCCTGCCCCTGCACAGGTTAGGAGACAGGAAAGCCGCTACAGAACAAAAGGAAAGGGAATCTTTAGGATGATAGTCAGGGCAGATCTTGGGATCCTGTGCAGGCAAGGACAAGAATTAGTCCAAATTGGAAGAGGCGATCAAGAAGCTGGTGCGTTGAGAGAGGTCATGACCATACACCTCCGCCACCACCACTTCGTGTACCATCTATCCCATCACTTTGAACTCATGAACTATCACAGGGCATGTTCAACCAAAACAGAAGAGTAAACCATAAGAAAGACAGACAGAGGATACAGGAAATCCAGGAACCCAACCCAGGACAATGAGAAAGATTACTCCAAGGATGAGAGCAAAGTCCCTGGACAAAGACTGTGCAGAGCAGCAGCACAGAGAGCAGCCAGCCCAGGTGGAGAAGAATGATGGTCATTAGAAACTATGCCTGTGCAAAGTCATTGGAACTGATAGATCAGCCAACATGACTGAAGATACTAGAAGGTGTGGGAAGAATGAACAATAGGTAGATAAAACAAACAAACAAGACAAGAAAATTAGAAATTTTAGAGAAAACCAAAAGTAGATAATATAGTTTCTACAGTGCTCAGGAATGACTAACATTTGAATAGGCATAAAAATATAAAGGTCAAATATTTCCTTAGCTCTTGTTGTCTTAATCCACAATAGTATCAGATCACTAAACCCTCATCTGCCAAATAAGAAGTCAATAGATTAGCCCTGGCTGGGTCAGTGAGCACTGGCTTGTGAACCAAAGGGTCCCAGGTTCAATTCCCAGTTAGGGCACATGCCTGGGTTGCAGGCCTGGTCCCCACTAGGGGGCGCACGAGATGCAACCACACATCAATATTTCCCTCCCTTTCTTTCTTCCTCCCCTTCTCTAAAAATAAATAAATAAAATATTTAAAAATAAAAAGAAGTCAATACATTAAGTGATTATTAAAGAGCTGTCTGCATACTCCTGTTACTTAGAAGACAATGAAGATGCGTGAATCCCAGAAGGCGTGACTAGAGGGGGGGCTGGAGAGGAGGGAGCGGTGCAGCAGTAAATTGCCGTTTCGTTATAAGCCTTTTCGTGACCATTGACTTTTTAAGTTATATGTGCATGTTACTACTCTGACAGAATCAAAATTAATTTTAAAAAGAAAAAAGAGAAAC